AATGGAGGGCAATGGCTGCTACAGCAGGAGCATGAGCTGGCTCCCCCCCTGCTGCCTGCCTGCTGCAGGCTGAGGCAAGGCCAGCTCCCAGTGGCAGCATGCACTCCTGAGGGGGCAGGGGGGACCTGCACCCCCCAGATCTGGGGGGGAGGGGCAGGGTGGATGTGCACTGCAGAGGAAGTGTGGCCACGGCAGCAGCAGGCAGCTTTCATGCATGGCCCTGCTGGGCCAGTCGCTCACGCTGCACTCTGGAGAGCCTGGGGGTGGGCAGCAGGGCAGGGAGTACAGTGTTTGTGACCCAGAGTTTGCAGCTGGCTGGGCACTCTGGCCAGGAGTGGGTTTGCAGCCTGCCTGCTCCCAGCCAAAGTCCTCAGCCAGCTGCAAACCCCACCTCCCAGCCAGAGTGCCCGGGGGTGGAGTGCCCAAGCTGGCTGTGGGCTGAGAGAGTGGGGAGGGTTGCAGCCAGCCAGGAGCGGCAGGGGGCGTTTACCACCTGGGAGGACGAGCCAGCTGAGCGCTCTAGCAGGGAGCAGGGAGGCTGCAAACCCCCTCCCTGCTAGAGTGCCGGGCTGGCTGCAAACCTCCCTGCTCCTGAAGCCCCTAGCCAGCTTCCCCCCCAGCCCTCCCCTGCAACCTCCAAGCCCCACTTACCTCCAGCAAGAAGAGTGAGCCTGAAGCAGGCTCCAGTAAGTGTGAGTGTTGGGCCCTGCCTTTCCCCACTCCCTTCCCCTCCGGGACAGGGTTGAGGGGTTCCCCACCCCTTTTGTGAACAGCTCCTGGAGGCTGGAACTCAGCCATCCTGCAGAGCTCTTTGCAAAAGGGGGAAATCCATGGGTTTCTCTTCTAAAAGGGAAAATCCGTGTTTTCTCTGTTTTTCTGTGGGAAACGGAAAACCAGGATCCCTGCTGATGAGTGATGCTGCCAGCCTATTCATTTTTAATATTAATCAGAGCTCAAGAATTTACAGAAAATTTCACAGATGGCCACCCTTCACCTTTTTTAAAAAAAAACACAATGAATTGAGCACTAATTTCTTTAGAGCAAATTTTACTTCCTTATTCCTCAGGCTATAAATCATGGGGTTCAAACAAGGGGTCAGCAGGAGATAACCCACAGAGATCAGAGTGTCTTCATCGAGGGAGGAGGATGACTTAGGTCTTAAATACACAAAAGATGCACAACCATAATGTGTTACCACCACTGTGAGGTGGGAGGAACACGTGGAGAAAGTTTTGCACCTTCCTGCAACAGAGTGGATCTTAAGGATGGCAGAGAGGATGTAGGTGTAGGAAATGATTATCACTGTGAATGTTCCCACTATAACAAAAGCGCATAAAGAAACAACCACAATCTCAGCAAGGTATATGGCACCACATGCCAGCCTCAGAACTGGTTTAACATCACAGAAGAAATGTCCAATTGTCCTTGGCCCACAAAGGGGCAAACTGAATACTAAAGAATTAATGGTTAGTGATATGAGGAAGCCAGTTACACAGGAAATAGTAACCAGCTGAATGCAAACCTTCCTGTTCATCATGGCTGAGTATTGCAGTGGGTGACATATGGCCACATAGCGGTCATAAGCCATGACTGTCAGCAAGAAACAATTAATTGCTCCAAAACCAAAGCCGCCAAACATTTGTGTTGCACATCCAATGACAGAAATAGTCTTCTTTTCCACCAGCAGATTCACCAGTGTTTTTGGGATGATGACAAAGGTGCTACAGAGTTCTGAGAAGGATAGAGCAAAGAGGAAGAAGTACATGGGGGTGTGGAGGCTCCAAGTCACTGTGATAGCTGTCATGATGCTGATGTTTGAGATAAGGATTACAATATATGCAAGAAAGAAAATAGGGAAAAGTAGCAGCTGGAGCTTTTTCAGGTTGGAGAATCCTAGCAGGAAGAATTCAGGCACGGTACTTTCATTTCCTCTGTTCATAATGCTCGTAAAAGGAAGAAAGGAAGTAAAAGATCTTGGGTTGTACTAAAATTAGATAAGAATGGATTTGGTCAATTTGATTTAATCAGGAGTCTTCATTGAATAATTTAAAAACAAATAATCTTTGCCTTCTTTTAACTAATTTTATTGATGGATTCACTGCTGTTTAAAATGCATATTTATAAAATCTATCTTTGATCTCAGGAAGGCAGTGGTGGCACGGTCCGAGCACTTAGCCACTCACCTACCTCTGACCTTGGAAGGGATCATTCCCACCCACAGCTGGAAAAGGTTGTCTATCCCTAATCCAGTTGTTTAGGGTTCTCAAATTTTTTTGTACCAGGACCCATTTTTAAACATTGATGGCCAGTCCCGACCAAATGCCACCCCGCCCCAGGTCCAAGCCCCCCAGTGTGTGTGGGGGAGAGGGGGCAAGCAGCCCCTTATAGCCTGGAACTCTGCCAGCCTGCAAGAGAAAAGCCATGGTTTCCCACATTTTTTTTCCTTTAAAGGAGAATCCATTTTTCAAGTTTGTTGATCCATTTTTAAAGTTTGTTTGCAACCCTGTCATATATTCTTGTTACCCACTTTTGGATCGTGACCCATGGGTTGAGAAATGCTGCCCTAATACAGCATTTCAATATAGTACTACACCATGAAGAGGTATCTGAAACCAGGATAACCAGAGGCTACACTATTCTTAAAGAGGCCCACACAGAAAACCAAGCACATGAAATCGTATCATTCTAATTCTACAGGTACTGTGACAGGTACCTCTACAAGACAGCACATTGTGCCAGCTAGACATACCCTCAAATATTTATGAACTGAAGTCTCTTTTCAAAATGGGACATAAGAAGTTGAATACCGATATTCTCCTCAGAAAAATATCCTGAAGTCTTAAGAATGTAGTTTTACAATTCCTTGTGAACAAAACAAGAAAACCCAAACACATTTCAGTAACAAAGCACAGTCAAAGTTTGCTAGGAATGCTATATATGACTTCACTGTGTTTATTCTTATCTGTGACAAAGGTTGCAAAGTTTGGGAAACAAACACAAATAAAAGAACCAATCCAGGAGCCATACTTTCATGCAAGGAATAGCTGGACTTTTTTGAACTGAGTGTTCATTTACTTCTGTGCTGGTACTTTAGGGCAGAAAGTGACAGTGTGATTAGTAAAGAACTTAAAACCTACCCTTCAGAACTGCACATCAGGAACACAACTTTTCTATGGAATATCATTATGATGTTTAGAAAGACTTCTGTAGGGTTAACAAAGTTTATATTCAACAGGATACTTTTGTGAGGGAAAACAGCAAAACTTGCCTCTCACAGGAAGTCATGTCTGGTTGTATCAATCAGAACCTTAGTTAATGGAGCAAAACCTAAAGAGTAGTCTCTTATTATAACTAGTATCTAAAAACAGGGAATTGCTATTATAGAACATAAATATTCTTTATGAAAAATATATTGTTAATAAAAGGCCAAAGGATCAGGGGTTTGGGTTGTAGCCGTGTTGGTCTAAGGATATAAGCAGACAAGGTTCCTTGGGTGAATTTGATATCTTTTATTAGACCAACCCAAATGGCTGGAGAATAGTTATTAAGCAAGCTTTCGGGTTCAAAAACCCTTCGTCAGGCTAAGGAAGCTTCAGCAGTTGGTGTGTGCTCTTCCTGGATGGAATGAAAAGTAAAGAAGCCAGGGGCTGGGCTGGGGAGTCAGTTGCCAGGCAGATTATAATCTGTCAAAAATCCAATGTCTATGTTTAGTCCATGATCTCTGGTATCCAGCAGGTTGATGAAATGGAGCTCATAGGCTCGTCTCTGAGAAGTGTTGTGTAAGTTTCCCTTGAGGATCAGGACTGAGAGATTGGAGAGAGAGTGGCCCTCCTGTGAGAAATGTGCCCCCACCAGTAATTGAGTGTTTCTTTGTTGGATTTCCGGTGTGCGTTCATTCTGGTGCGCAGTTGTTGTCTGGTCTCTCCTACATATCTTCCATCAGGGCATTTGGTGCATTGGTGCCCTGATGGAAGATATGTAGGAGAGACCAAACAACAACTGCGCACCAGAATGAACGCATACCGGAAATCCATCAAAGACAGAAACACTCAATTACCAGTGGGGGCACATTTCTCACAGGAGGGCCACTCTCTCTCCAATCTCTCAGTCCTGATCCTCAAGGGAAACTTACACAGCACTTCCCAGAGACGAGCCTATGAGCTCCAATTCATCAACCTCCTGGATACTAGAGATCATGGACTAAACACAGACATTGGATTTTTGACACATTATAATCTGCCTGGCAACTGACTCCCCAGCCCAGCCCCTGGCTTCTTTACTTTTCATTCCATCCAGGAAGAGCACACACCAACTGCTGAAGCTTCCTTAGCCTGACGAAGGGTTTTTGAACCCGAAAGCTTGCTTAATAACTATTCTCCAACCATTTGGGTTGGTCTAATAAAAGATATCAAATTCACCCAAGGAACCTTGTCTGCCAAAGGATCAGGGACATTTGAGTTTAAGTGTTTATCAGGACAAACCCTGTCCAACACCCTTGCCAAAAAGATTCTTCAGAAAGAAGAACCCATCTTCACAGACTTTTAAGGGCACAGCTCTGGTCTCATGCAATGCATTAAAAACATCCAGTTGCAGAGACTCAGCCCTAGGCCTCACCATTAATTTACAAAAGTGGACATGGGTCAGTCAGACCAAATGACAAACTTCATGCAAACAGCAACCATCAGTTTAGCTAAAGGATTCTAACTAAGCATCAAACATCTGACTAATTCAATAACCTCCTGCCCACCCAGCACGAACCTAGATCATCTTACCTATGCTATCATGCCTTCCTCCTCTTCAATCCTAAGTCCTGATCAAGCAAGATGCCCTGCATAGAAAGAAGCCTGTGGCACACAGACACTACTTGAGGGACATAGTTTCAGTTTGGACAACATCAGGGCCTTGCCTTCCAAGATGACCCTGCATTTCCAATGAGGGACATATATGGTTACTGAATAAGGCTACCCACAGAAGACCCCTAGCTCTGAAGCACAAAGATATCTAGCTATTCTTGATACTTCAGGTTTAGTTTTTTGGGGTTTTTTAATGGAAAAAAAAGAAAAGAAACAAAACTTTATGGACCCCACTAGATGAAAACTTGGAGCCAGAACTACAGTTAATTAATAGATATAAAAATACCTGGGGGGGTTTCCTATCCTACTTGAACATACAACCAGGTGACCTACCTGCAGCCCAAGGAAACAAACTCTGCTTCCAAAGACGGGTGCTTTATATGGAGATTTATATTTGGTTTCAGTCACATCCTGGGATATGGTCCCCAGCTGCTTCCCCTGGGTCTGAGCCTGCCTCAGAGATTTTAGAAGTAATTAAGAAGAACTTGGATGTAAACAGTTATTTACTATCTGGAGACAACTAGGGTAAGAATAATATTGTTGGTCAGAGCTCACTGAAAACCATGTGGTGATCTTTTCAGCTCCTTCAGAGCCAAGGAACTTCTTAGGATAAATTATAAAAACATCAGATTTGTAAACACCCAGAGGAGGGGATAGGGCAAACTGTAGCAGTCAACAAGAATTTCTAAAGACCAAATCATGCCAAACCAATTTGATTTCCTGCTTGGACAGAATAACTGGTTTGGTGGATGAAGGAAATGCAGAGGACCTTATAGACTTGTATTTGTAGGAAGGCTTTTGACACTGGGCCACAGAGGTTTCTCATAAGTAAACTGGAACAAAGCGGGCTAGGTAGCACTACAGTCTGTTGAATAATCATAAAGAATTTATAGTGATAAATGGATAAATATCTGATGGTGGGAGGTTTCAAGTGAGGTTCCACTGGTTTCTGTTCCAGGTCTGATCCCAAGTAACTTTTTTATTAATTGTTTGTGTGCAAGAATAAAGCATTTATTGATTAAATCTGCAGGTGACAAAGCTGTTTGGAGATTGCAAACACTTTTGGGCAGTTTCGCAAGTTCAGAGGATTTTGATAAATTAGAGATCTTGGCTACAGACAACAAAATAGAATTGAAAAAAGACAAATATAAGTCGCAACCTCTAGGGTAATAAGAATAAAAGCACACAAAAAGAATGAAGTGCACATTCTGGAGGGTAGGGAACAATTGCAGGCAGACCTGGTCAGGTTGGAAAAGTGGGCAGTCCACAACAGGATGCAGTACAAGAACAAGTGCAGAGTGCTGCACCTAGGGCGCAAAAATATCCAGCACACCTACTGGCTAGGCAGTGACCCTCTCAGCAGCACAAAAGCAGAAAGGGATCTTGGAGTCATAGTGGACTCCAAGATGAACATGAGCGCTCAGTGTGACGAAATCATCAGCAAAGCTAACCACACTTTATCGTACATCAGCAGATGCATGACAAATAGATCCAAGGAGGTGATACTTCCCCTTTTGGCACCATTGCTCAGACCACAGTTGGAGTACTGCATCCAGTTTTGGCCCCGTACTTCAAGAAGGATGTTGATAGACTCGAGAGAGTCCAGAGGAGGGCCGCTTGTATGGTTAGGGGCTTACAGGACAAGCCCTACGAGGAGAGACTGAAGGACCTGGATCTCTTCAGCCTCCGCAAGAGAAGGCTGAAAGGTGATCTTGTGGCTGCCTACAAATTCATTAGGGGGACACAGCAAAGGATTGGAGATGCTCTGTTCACCAGGGCACCTCTTGGGGTAACAAGGAACAATGGGCACAAACTGACAGAGAGCAGATTAAGGCTAGATATCAGGAAAAGCTTCTTCATGGTAAGGGTGGCCAAAATTTGGAATGAGCTTCCAAGGGAGGTGGTGCTCTCCCCTACCTTGCGGGGTCTTTAAGAGAGGGCTGGATAGGCATCTGGCTGGGGTCATGTGACCGCAGTGCCTAGGCAGGGGGTCGGACTCAATGATCTGTTGAGGTCCCTTCTGACCCTAACATCTACGAATCTATGAATGAGGAATAATGAGCAGTAGCACAGGTGAGAGTGATCT